TTACGGAAGCTTTGTACAAAAGTTTATAATTTTCCGATTATAATTGCTTTTAAAGAAAAAAATTTGAGTGGTTTTCGAGTTATAGAGATTCGAGTTATCGAGGTTCGACTGTATTAAAAAATTTTATCTCTCTCATACAAACGCGTAAATTAAAACATTTGTTATTTCGCGATCGTACAGATTAAGTTATTTTTATTTCAACATTCAACATAAGAATAAAATTTCTGTACTCTTCCAGGATATTCGTACGAGCCGTACAGAGTTTCGTCCCGAATCGTTACTCTTATGTTACTGTTGACCTCGCTAAGCCTTTATGCGGCTTATACAGCGAATATCGTGGGTTTGCTGCAGTCTACTACAGATTCCATCAAAACTCTATCGGATCTCCTGAACAGTCCTTTAAAGCTGGGCGTGATGGATGTAATATATAACAGACATTATTTCAAGGTTGGTAGACCGAAATCGCGTAAATTAATAATACGAAAACTTTTATTATATACAGGGTTGGAAAGTAACTCGTTATTTGTAACAAAGTTACTGTTAGAGTTTTTTTTCAATAACTGCAACTTAACTTCGTTATTTTCTTTTCATGTGTAACTATATATAACTTAACTTAGATTTTTAAAGTAAGCAGTAACTAATTTAATAATTACTCTTACAGTTACTTTATATATATCAAATCATTCAAATCATCATTTTCATGGATCAAAATTATGCAACACTTTCGCTCAATCACCTAATCGTAATGTGATTGTAATTATGCGAAATATTTAAATATGCGAATTACTTTCCTTTTTTAAATAAAATTATATAATATGTAAATGTAAATCTTTTTTTATAATGCTAATATTGTTCTATTAAAAGTAACTAAAAGTAACGATTCGTTACTTTTTGAGTAACTGTAACTGTAACATGTTACTTTTCAGAGTTGGTGACTTGTAACGATAAGTTACTTTTTGAGAGACAAAAACTGCAACTGTAACTAGTTACTTTTACAAAGTCACTTTCCCAACTCTGATTATATATAATTTATTGTCAAATACCTCGGGACTTATACGGTGTAAAAATTACAAATAGTAGAAGAAAATTGCAAAAAATAAATAAGTTCTTTATGGAATGGCAGAGATCGGAAGAGCACACGT